CATATATATATTTGATTTTATGTGTATGGATGTTTTTCCAGGATGTATGTCTGTGTACCATGTATGTGCAGTGCCCTTATCAGAGAGAAGAAGGTATTAGATCCCCTGGAACTGGAGTTACAGATGGTTGTGAGATGCTGTGTGTGGGCTGGGAATGGAACCAGGTTCTTTGGAAGAACAGCTGTGGGGCTGGAGAGATGGCTCAGAGGTTAAGAGCATTGTCTGCTCTTCCTAGAGGACCTGAGTTCAATTCCCAGCGACTACATGGTGGCTTACAACCATCTGTAATGGGGTCTGGTGCCCTCTTCTGGCCTGCAGGCATATACACAGACAGAATATTGTATACATAATAAATTAAAAAAAAAAAGAAAAAAAAAAAAGAACAGCCGTGCTCTTAACTGAGCCAGCTCTTTAGTCCTTGTGTCCTGGCTTCTGATCCCAGACTGGATACTACAGGTTAGGTAAATGCTACCCCTTCAAGATCTCTTCAGTCACTTGCAACAAACCCACGAAGTTTTTGGTTCTACCACTTGGTTCCCCCTGTGGGTGAGCATCCCACTAATAGAGCCACACACCCAGCGTTGCTATTCTCTGCCTATACCTGAGTTCCAGAGACTCACCCTGTACAAGGTCACAGAAATGTCCACGTTCTCTGGGACCATCCACACCACAGTGCCACGGTATGGGTTCTGGATGCCGGGCTGCCAGCTGTGGGCCTGTAAGAGGCAGTAGGGAATCCTCCTGGGTCTTCACCCTTCCCCATCACCATCAGGCCCTATCCTCTTCCCCCATCCTCCTTTCTCCCAGTGGACACCGATATGACCTGCACCTGATTGCGCTTTCCCAAGAGCTCGCATCTACCTCCCCCTTGGCCCTGCCTCCCTACCTGGACCCCCAGGTGCCAGTCTTTCTCACCTTGGAGCAGACACGTCGGTTCCGCCGAGTCCATACCACTACCAGCTTGTCTGGCTGCCTGGAAGAAAGGGAAGAACTCTTAGCAGGCCCAATCTAGCTTCCCCATCTTCTCTTCCTCCTTTTTCTAGCTCCCTGGGGGTCTCCTCTGGTCCCCTTCCCAAGGAGGAGGGCACAGGCAGCTTCTTATCTAGGGTCACCGGGTGTAGGGTGGGGCTGCTCAGGCAGGGTGGGGCTGGGACTGAAGGGCAAAGGCCTGGACAGTGAAGACTGAGACATTATGGCCCAGCAGGGCCTTTGAAAAAGAGTGACACGGGGGCTGGAGAGATAGCTCAGTGGCTAAGAGCACAGACTGTTCTACCAGAGGACCTGGGTTCAATTCCCAGCACCCACATGGAAGTTTATAACTGTCTGTAACCCCAGTTCCGGGGAACTGACACCTTGGCACCAATACATATAAAATAAAGTTAAAAATAAGAAGAAAAAAGAGAAAAAAAAGAAAAAGTGACAGACAGTAACAGCAGCAGGCACACGTGTGTGCACACACAGAAACACGGGAAGACAAAGATTTGGTTCACAATATTTGTGGAGTTCCTCTGGAGCTCAACTTGTTCTGAGGGCAGAGGAGAGGAGGAGAAAAGGGGCTGAGGCCAGACCCTTGAGGTCAAGGAAGGTGGAAGAAAAGTAAAGACAAGGAGGGAAAAGCCTGGCTTGGTGGTGCAGGTCTTCAATGCCAGTGCCTGAGGCAGATGGAGGCAGGTCTATGAGTTCAAGAGCAGCCTGGTCTAGATAGCAAGTTTCAGGCCAACAAGGGCTACATGTAAGACCCTGTCTCAATAAAAATAATAAATAAATAAATAAATGAATAAGTAGAAGACAGAAAGAGAAGAAAAAAGTGTGTGTGTGTGTGTGAAGAAAATAAACTAGTCACCACTTTGTGGGTGCCATGAAGGAGCCTGCCTGATGTCCTTTGGCTGGGTATCTGAGCAGAGGCAGGAGTGGAAGAAGTGGTTATGTGCTGATCTTCAGAGAAGGAACTCTTCAAATGCAAGGATCTGAGGCTCAGGGAGTGGTAGAGGCAGAGCAAGGGCAAATGAGAGGAGTGAGGCCAGAGAAGCACAAGGTTAGGGACACTAGACAACCCCCACACACTGAGGGGGTCAGGCAGGACTCCTACTTCCTTAAATCCAGACCCACTGATGCTGACAATGGAGTCCCAGGGAAGCCTGAGGAGACATGGGCAGCAAGCATGCGTTGCAGGAAAGGCAGACAGGTGCGAAGGTGGGGACAAGCAGGGAGAGAGAGCTGCGCAGGCCTGGTCCTTGACAACGGACTGACACTTGGCTGGGCCCTGAGAGCTGCGCAGGCCTGGTCCTTGACAACGGACTGACACTTGGCTGGGCCCTGGGGACAGGGCCTTTTTGAGTTAGTCTCTAACCACTGCTCAGGAGGGTGGGGTCGGTCCAGGAGAGAATCAGGGGAAGGCAGCGTGAGAGCCTTCCCCGCTTGTTTCCAGCTCCATGCCTTGATGCTAGGTCTGCCCAGCTCACTGCCTCCCTGGAGGCTGAGGCAGGACAAGCGGCTTGCTCTTAACCTTTGAGGCTTCTGAACACAGAGAAGTAGGCCAGATAATGTCACACAGCTGAGTCTGGAGTCCTCTGACCTAGAAGTAAGCAGCCATTCCCAGCCCCAAACCACAGGCAATGGCCCAGCAAGGCCTTCCCAGAAAAGGGAAACAGCAGGGGTGCCTAGAGAGGGTGTGGCCTGGTTGGTCAGCCTGACTCAGGACTGTAGGCACGCCTTCCTGGGAAGCTATGACCTAGGCAGGGGCAGCTTCCTGTCCTGGGCCCCTGGCTAAGAAGCCCAGCAGGCCTTACCCATTGCTGCTTGTGACTCAATCCACTGACACTGTCTGTACCTTCTGTCTACTCCCCAGAACCATGCCCGGTGTCCCTTTGGCCTCACCCAGAATGCTGGGGCAGGAACCAGAGGCCAGAGTTCAAGTGCCAGCTCTGCTGTGTTACCCCGACGAGCTCCCATTGTCCCTCTGCCTTTACTGCATAAAGGGCCTCCCAGTGGACCCAGCATGTTCAAGGCCAAAGATTACTGGTGGCTGACCTAAGGACCCCAGCCTCTGCTCGTTCCCCTCCCTTCAGACCCCATGGTTCCGGCCTACTCCTGCTCTTCCCCCTTGGGACTCTATATTTAGCCCCAACTGGGCTGCGAGGCCCCCACAGCTGTGCCCTAATCCAGCCGAGGGAAGCTGACACCAGTGTACACATATATTTAGGGTGTGACGCAGGGGCCTGGGCAGCTGCCCCATGGGGGTATGTGAGCCAGACAGCCCTAGGGCCCTTTGACAGCCCAGGACAAGGCCTGTACCCTCTCATGTGTTGGCCCCTCACCTGCCTACCTTTCCCTCCACAGATCCGCCTCTCCTGGACCCACCACCCCTAGGACCTCAGGCCCCTTTAAGCCTCTCCCCGCCTCCCTCTTCATCCCTCCAAGCTCAGTTTCCCCTTTTAAGGACATTGTGGAGACATCCCCAGCCTCTGGGGCCCACTCTGGCTGAAGGGGGAGGGGCAGAAAAGAAGGCCACATCTTCACTCTGAACTGAACTAAGATCCATGAAGTCTGTCCCAGCCTTGGCCACCTGGAGATCTCAAAACTTGTTCCGTTTTCCACTGCCACCCAGTCTAGCTGCTCTTGGCTTGAGGAACAAAGCCTCCTCCCTCAGGCCCGAGCACAGCTGATTTAGATGTGAGCAACGATCCTCCTGCCTGTGAGCCTTGCCCCACACAGGGCACACCTCTCAACTCCTGGAGTCCCCCACTACCCCCTCCCCGGCCCCCGAGCTGCAAGACGCACCTAGGATGGGAACCCCGTTAATCGTTAGACTTGGGGCGAGTTTCTCAGACTCAAAAAGTTCAAGCTAAACCGAGTCCCACATCAGTCTGGGGGCTCCCTCAGGCCTCCCTTCTACTCACCATTTCTTGGTGCACTCCAACACCAGTTCATGGTAACAAGCCACAAACTGGAACTTGGCGGCCCGCTTGCCCACCCGCTGCAGGCGCTTCCACACCGAAGTCATGGCCCTAGGAGCTCTTGCCGCCCACTTCTCAGGCTCGGGGATCCCGCTTGCTCGCCACTGCTGGCCCTGCCAGGGTCCCCATGGTCTCTGGGGCCCCTTTCTGCTATGCCCGTCCTGTCCACCCCGTCCGTATAGAGGTGTCTGAGGTTCGGATCTAGACCGCGCTTATTGGGACGGCCGCTGGGGTCCTCCGGGTGGGCTGGTTGAGTCTGCGGGGCGGTCCCGGCGCGTCGAGCTGGTCGGAGCTCGGAGCTGCAAGAGCGCGGTTTCCTGGAGCCGCAACCCCCGTCCGAAGGCGGGCGGGGCTGCAGCGCGGGGCGGGGCGACCCCGCTTCCGGGACGCGACCGGGCACCGGCACCCGGCTTGGGGGTGGAGGGAACGAGTCCCGACCGCAAAGTCGACTTGGTGGGCGCCCGGGAGCCGGATGGGGTATAGGGGTGAACATGTGCGCTCTAAGAGATGACAACCTCAACTAGGTGCTGTCCTCCCAAGAGCTGCCACAGCCGCCTCCCTTCCTGCCTGCAACCTTTGTGGTCCTGTTTGGTACCCCACTTCTCAAGCTTGTAAAGCAGAGACCTAGGAAGAAGATGGGTCTTGCTCAGAGTCCTCAGCGTCTACTGGGCCAGAGCCAGCGGTTCTTAGCTCTGGGGTAGGAGACCCTTGCTAACACCCACGTCTTAATCAGATAAGAAAAGTTCCAAGTCGGGAGCCAGCTTTGGCGGGATGCACCTAGTGTCACAAAACCAGACTTCTCAGCTGGCACGAGGGAAAAGTCCTCACTTCTCACAAGCAATGAAAGGTTCAAATAGTGGTTTCTAATCAAGAGTGCCACCTTGGACAAAGCACTAACACTCTGTGCCTCGGTTTTGAAGTCTGTTAAATGGGGCCAATTATAGTTCTATCTTTAACGGTCATAGAAGGTTGAAACGTGGGAAAGCATGTAGCACAGGGCTGGGCTGATTTTGCCAGGTCTTATTAAATGCAATCCGTTATCAGGGCTAGAGAAAATACGTCTGTGGGTGTTTTCTCTCCTCCCCTGGGGCGTTAGCTGTGGTGTTGACGCCTAGATTAGACTCCTTATCAGCCGTCCAACTCAATGGTAATGAGCCTCTGCAAGGTGGCTCATACCCAGTTGAGAGAAGTGCCCTAGAGCACCACATCTCTGTGTTCTCTCCCTGCCCAGTGTCTAGCAAACCCACACGGTGGAAAAGACTTGTCTTCCAGAAGTGGCAGCTGGGTGGATCTCCAGCACTCAAGTGACCGTGGTAGGGAGTGGGGAAGAGCTGCCCAGGTGCAATCTTGAGAGTGCGCAGGCGTCTCCTGAGGGCTGGACACCCGGGTTTGTCTCTCCACTCCATTGGTGTGACTCTCTGCTTCCTTGAGGAAGCCCTCTGTGTACTACCCTACAGGTACTTAGTGCCGAGGTCCGGGGGAGGCTGGGCAGTCTGAGGCTGCAACAGAGGTGCCCGAGGCCTCAATTTTTGCCCCCCCCCCCCCCGTGCTGTCTCCCTTCCAGGACTTGTCTACAGACTGAAACCTCACTCCCTCTGGCCTCCACACCTCTCCCTCCTATCACGGCCCCCTCCAACCTATGGGGCACCAACTCTTGGAGCTTTCCCCAATCACTCTGATGGGCCCCCGGGTCAGTCAGCTCTGGCCCACCCATTTCCTGTGCTGCAGCAACTCCGCCCAGCACTGGAGGTGGAAAGTTTCTCTCCTCAAGATGGGCGGCTCCTTCCTTCCTGGAAGGCTCAAAGCAAGGGAAAGGGGGAAGCTGGGTTCCAAAGCCTAGAGCCCGGGGGACGAGACTCGACTGCTGTCAAATGCTGCAGAGCCAGGCTTCGGTAGCCTGGAAAGCTTCCAACCTTGCCCGGAGAGGGACGTTTCATACCCTGAGCCCTCTAAGACTTTCACTAGGGGGTCTTGGGCGCCACCTGCCGGCAGAACTCTGACCACACTTGCTAGAAACCACTTAATTCCCAACCCAGTACCCATCAACCAGGCAATCAGAATACAATGTTGAAAGTACTTATTTATTTTTCCATTCACGAACTGGCCCCTAAACGTAAATATCCAGCATAGAGGCCTTAGCCTTTCTGGCTTGTGGATGGCTGCGGAGATGGGTCCTGGAGCCCTTGTCCCAGGCAGTGAAACCCTAGGGCCACAGATAGGAATGCCCCTGAGCCAGCAGCTGCACGTGGCAGCAAAAGATGAAAGAGATGGAAGCTAGGCAATCATCCCAGTCCTAGCGATGCCAACGCGAGTGCAAGACACTTTGGACCCCATGGTCAGACTAAGGGCTGGCCAAGCTAGGGGTGCACACACGTGGGAGAAGTGGGGAGCCCAGTGCACTGGGCATTGGCTGCAATCTTGACCGCTTTGCCTGATGGGTATATGTCTTGCCCTCCTGAAGTGAAGTGAGGTGGTACCAGTAAAAGAGCAGGCACTGTCAACTAAGGACTTGCTGAAGGGCAAGTTCTGAGCCTTTTGTCTAGGTGCTTAGCTATCCACCCCAGCTTTTCAGAGGCTGATTTGGAAGGCATCCTGCAACCACTGGTCACGGGCATTGTGTGTTTGGGGCACGGTGAGGGGTGGAGGGTCTGGGGGCAGGCTGGCATCAGGAGGCTCGTCATCATCGGACAGGCCGGCATCAGGTGGGTAGGAGCTGTCCGAGTGGAGGGAGGATGACAGGTCCTGGCACAAGCTCAGGTCTTGGCACAGATGCTTGTAGTCCTGGATCGACTCATACAGGCCCCACAGCTGGCACAGCAGCGACATATCCAGCTGCCGCAGCCCCACCTGCGGACAACTGACAGTGGGCTGGAGTTGGGGGTCCAGGCCCCCCACAAGCTCCAAACCAAAGTCCCCACGATGAGCCACAACCCTGTCCAATCTTCCTGCACCTTCTTAGGTGAAAGTTCTGGGGGCAACAGATGGCACTTGCCAACTGTGAAACCTTTAAGCCACTCACTGGCCCTCATTTATACAATGGGGTAACACTGTCCAGCAGGATGAAATCAGGCAAGTTTTAAAAATGCAACAATTGCTACACATTGTTACAATCATAGCTATCCTAAACCACTGTGACCCGACGCATCCTGCTGGGCATGAGAGCCAGGACACCGGTCCCAGACTTATCCCCGACCTCTCCACAAAGCACGTTACCCCTGGCGGGGAGCCCACCTACTCACCATCTCCTTGCGCAGCGCGGCCAGTGCCGAGTCCAAGTTAACTGGGCGACGCACGCCTGCTGCAGAGCCCGAGTTGGCAGCGCCCGCAACGTGACGGGGACCGTCCGGGGCGCGGGCGGCACGGCTCAGCTCATCGTGGATGCGGCTCCGCTGGCTATAGACACGCTCCAGCTCCCTCCACGAGCCCCCACTAGCGTTAAGGAGGCCGCTGAGGCCCCGCGGTAGCGGTGGGAGCCCAGCCAGAGTGCAACCCGCGCCGCCCGGCGCCTCGGCTGAGGGTAGACCGTTCATGGCCGGGCCGGCACGGACCGCGATGCCACTCGGAGTCCTCCAATGTTTCACGCGGGTTGCGGCTCACAGGACTTGCTCCCGGTGGCCCAGCCTCCGGAGGGAGCCCAGCCGCCGCCCGCAGGCCGCGCTTTGTTCCTTCCCAGACTCCTCGGACTCCGCCTATGCTCCACCCCTCTGCATGGGCGGGGCTTCTCTTAACAGGGAGATGGCTGTGGGGCCCAGCAATCCATCAGAGAACCGGGAGGGATGAGACCGAAAGGGTCAGGAAAGCCTTCCGCTGTTCTTTTTGCTGCCTCATTTCTACACAATTTCTTTCCCAAGGGAACGATTCTAAAAGTGTAGGAATGCAGGGGCCGGAGAATGGAGTAAGATTGTGCCTAGCTCTTAAAAGTGCTTCGCTGGCCCCCCCCCCCCAACATTCCAGTGAGCATTAAGATGGAATCATAGAACCAAGATACCCAGAGGAGGAGAGGAAGCACCAAGGGGGCCGAAACTGCACACGGTAGTCGGGTCCAGAAGGTGGAGGGAGGGGTATTGGATCAGGGACAGTACTAGTGGTCCAGCCTTTGTGGAGGCTGAAGTTACTTCATTGGAAAAAGGGGTCACTTGTCCCTCTACCATTTACCCCTTGTCCTGAGTGCAAAAAACTCATTCAGGTAGAAAAGGCCACGACAAGGTGAGTTGCCAAAAGAAAAAGCGTGACTAGAGCTGGGGCTTGCGTGCACACTCAGAACCAAGAAAGAAACAAACCACACAGAGGAACGGCTGCTTTTCTAGAGGGTTTTTCTCAGGGCCACAAGGGGTTGGAGGAGAGGTTTCAGTGCTGCAGCTGCTTCAGGCTGGCTAGGGCCTCAGCACAAGCCCGGATAAGCCCACACAGCTGGATGCTAGTCTCCAAGGACGCACTGGAGCCCAGCTCAGCCGAGGCCCAGGTTAGCTTCTGCAGGAGGGCTGTCTGTGTGGAGGCCACCACATCTGCATTTGGAG